GCTTTCGTGGGTATCTGAAGAAGTGAGGTTCTTACCCACGAAAGCTTATGCTCCCAATACTTCTGTTAGTCTTAAAGGTGCCACAGGACCCTCTGTTGCTTTTTTTGAAAGAGGACTATGTTAGTGCTAATGGGACATTTAGAGTCTAACACTTTCGTGGGCTCTGCAATTCACACCCCCTTAAGTCTGCACTATGACACAGTGTAGACAAGCCTGATGTGTAAAGTTAAGTATGCGTGTCAGTTCTTTTCAGGGTCTGGGCACAAGTCTTTCTAATGCATGGGGTATAGGTATGAATGATTCTTCTGCTTCTTGAAGTAGATTTTTATTTTGTATTGGTAAAGTGCAATGTTTTGCAGAGACAGGGTGGTCTACTGGTTATAACAAAGGACTGGATGGTATTATAACGTATCTCCATCCTGGTGAATTTAGGATCTAATCAGAAAGTCCTATTCTAATTCTGTCACTGATTTGATCTGTGACTTTGAACAAATAACTGAGGCCCCAGTCATGTGAGTTTGGATGCATGGACCTAGGGCCTGTGTGTTCTAAGGTGCAGGATCAGGACCTTAGGTCTCAATCCTGCACTAAGCTGAGTAGCAGTGGATCGCTGAGTCCATGCAAGCGCATAGGTCCATCCCTGAGAGCTCACTGGAGGTCCCACCCTAATCTCCTTGTACCTCAGGTGCCCCATTTGTAAAATAATACTTATATTTGTAAAGTGTTTTGAGATCTTCAGGTGACGGGGCTGTCAAGGCACAAAGCATTTATTAGCTCTTTGGTGCTCCTTGGGAATACTGGAAATTAACACAACTGAAGGTGTGGGCTCTTCTCCCCGTCCTGTCTGCTCCCCGCGCCTTACAGTGTGGGAGGAGCCTCTGCCTGGACCTCACTTGCCTCCCAGCCCCACCCCGGGCTAAGGAGACCCCTCTAGAAAAGCAGCCAGGTGGTGGCTGAGGGCTCAGCCATTCCCTCCTCTGGGGCCATTCTGGGGGGTGTTGGGAGAACTTCCTTGGAAGGCTTTCTCCTCCCCCTTTGGGATTCCCGGCCGCGCTTTCCTGCCCAAGGGGGGAGCGGGGTGGCCACAAGAAGAGCGCAGCGGCTGAGCTCTCTCCTCTTCCCAGCTGAGCCGGAGGGGAGGGGCGGGGGCTGGTCGTGTGAGTTCAGGCGGGTCGGGTTAGTGCTGGAAACTCCAGGTCCCGGCGGCTGCTGAGCCCAGAGCCAGAGGGAGCGCGAGAGGCTCCTGCGCTACCTCCCCCGCACCATGGAAGTGCAGTAAGGGAGCTCAGGGCGCCGGGAGCAAACTTCGTTGCTACAGGCTCGGAAAGTTTCCTATGTGACCCGCTTCTGTGCCAACATGAAAGGTAAGCGGGGGTGGGGAGCGCTGTGCGTGGATCTAGCCGCGCTTTAACATGCGGGGCTTGCTGCGCTGGGAGATACCTGCCGGGAAATCTCTTTGCAACCCCCCCGGGGGAATAACTTGCACTAACTGGCCAGAGGGAGGGAAATGGTGCAAGGGGGGGGAGTGTTACCCCCCCCCCCCTTACACTTATGAGGAAAGCTGCCCTGGATGAGTTTCTAAAACAAACTTGAGACCAGTCCCTAAGCAGTTGTTTACGGAGTCCTGCTTCAAATGTTTGGCCTGAAAAAAATCTGTTCAGGAGAGGGGAGCAGTCGCCCTCCCCACCGTTTCTGCACTCTCCAGCACGTATTTCCTGACCACCTATCTTTTAGTTTTCTCCCTCCCCCCCCCCCCCCGTAGTTTTAGAAAACAGAGCAGCTTTTTCTTTTTTGGCCAGTGTTTCGTGATGTTCTTGGTGTTGCTTTTAAACATCTGGCAATGATTAGGTGCCAGTGGAGGTTTAACTGGCTTGTGAAATGTATTTGGCATCCTTCACCCCAAGATCCACTGACTGGAAAATATTTGGTCTTTTGCATCTGTTAAAGCTGAAATTTAAAGTCCCCTGTCCCCTCCCTTTAAATGGGTGAAACGCCCGCTACTTTTACACTAACACACCAGTTGGCCCTGCTCATGTTCTATAGAGTTGTGACTAAGAGGTATCAGTATGCTTTTTAAATCAAATACAGAAGTGGCTCTCCAAATTGCTATAGTTCTAATCTAATAAAGACGTACTAGGGTAGGGCTTTGCAAGAAGCCCTCCTGTTTATGAAAAGTGGGAGCTTACAGCGAAGCATAGAACCCTATACTCTTTGGAAGGTTACAAAGAAAGCATCCAAGAACACTAGGGAAAATTTAGGAAGTATTTGTGAGTTTGCAAGATTCAAGTTCAGTTTTTCTTCAGAGACAAAAATAAACTTTTAAAAATACCAGCAAACCTGCAGCTGGGCACCAGTTTAGAACCTAGATGCCAACAGGCCAGAAACATCAGGATAGTTACACTTAGTTTCCAGAGCCGAGTACAGCAAGCGGTGTGATCATTTATTAACATGCCAGAGTAGCTCCCTAAAGGGATAAGTGTGGTTGCTTTTATTTTTGTTTTGTGAACCCACACACACTACTTAAATAACTTTTGGCATTGTGACAAGGTGTCTGTAGGGGAGCCTGCAGTTTATTAACAATATTTTTTATTTATAGACCACTAGTGCCAAACATTTTGTCACTGCCTTATTGCTAGCAGCACTAGTGTAATCCTCACCACCATCATCATCCTTGTCTCTTTTATATAGCACCTTTCACTGGCAGATTTCAAGTGGCAAAAACAAAGTAAAATAGTGGAAATGGCAAATTGTAAAATCAAACACATATGGTTTTAAATCTTTAATTCAGTGTTTCTTCTCATGTTGGTATTGATGCTTTGCTCACTTATTTTCTAGCGGTCTCTTTTTGGGGTGGGGGGAAGGGTAGGTATCTTGCTGAGTGTTACATTAGGATCCTGCACCCATTGAAGCTGACAGGAGTTTTGCCATTGATTTCAATGGATACGCAATTCGAGCTGATATGATTTATAGTCCTTTGCTTTTCTCTGCTAAGGGCAGAAATGGCACTCTGAGAAGGTGTTACGGCTTCTATAAATTAGTGTTGGTTACTCCAGAAATGCAGCGTTACTGGAAAGCTTCACATCCCTTTTTAGTCCCTAACCACTATGTTTCTTTAAGAAGTTTTACAACTGCTTGATTTTTTTTTTTATTTTGTTCAGAACAATGGAAACCAATAATAAGCCTTGTAAAATAAAATCTTTAAACTACAGTATTAATAGAAAACATCCTTCAACCAAGACATCAAATCAACTGGTACTGCAAGAGTTATAGAAGTCCTAAATACTGCCAAAGTACATTTTTGCCTCTATATTTTCCTATTGCCTCTTTAACATACATATTTGGCTTTCCACATTCTCTATTTAAACTTGGTGCTTGCAATAATGCTAGAGCTTTTGAACGTAGTGTAATCACACATTCTCCTCATGAATAACCACATAGTTGATCTATTGAATGCGGTAAACAGCTGTCTCTATTCCCGTATCTACCCTCCCTGGAGAACAGAACAGTATCAAAATAATTACATCATTAGATATTTGTAAAGAATAAATTATATTTTTCCATTGCTTGAATTCTTAATATGTTGTGTCTTAAATCAGTAAAATAAATTGAAATATATGGTTAGTTTACTGCCAGATTTATTTTCAGTAAACTAAACTGAGCTCATAAACGTTGTTGCTTTTTTTTATTTGTAAAGGGATTTGACTGCCTTAGGGTTAGCTGTATCTTTACCTAATAATACTTCTCAGTTTTTAAAATTTTAGATATTTTGTGAGTTATGAAGCAGTACTTGTTGTCTAGGAAACAGAAGGAAAACAACTTTCACATATTCAAACAACGCATGTTCAAAAACATTGAGCCCAATTTAACACAGGGAAAGAAGATGCCATTAAAACTGAGTGTTCAACTGGATATTTCTGAACTTCTTTGTTTCAAATGCATCAGTAGGCAATACGCTTTTATCACAATTGTTCTGGTGTCAAATATAGTAATATGTTATGGTTTACTGTGCACTTCTCATATCGCTTACTTTCTTGAAGTCTGCTTGTTTGACATACACAGGATTATGGGATACTATATGTGTATCAAAGGTCTTTGGTGGGGATGAGGAATGTCTGATATATTACTTTTCTCAAATATGTGATCAGAATGACCTGCCACATGCAAAGTGCACTCTCATATTAAAAACTGCATGCTCATTGAGACATATGGCCAGATTAATCCCTAGTATAGTTCCACTGAAGTCAATAGTTATATCAGGGATGAATCTGGTGAACTGCTCCTTCAGACCCCTTCTTCATTAGTGTGCATTGACTTGCTTTAGAAGAGACTTGGTACATAAAGTGTTCAATAAACCAAGCTTATGTGCACTCTTTGCTTTATTCAGTATGTATTTTATTGGAAAGTGAATGAGGTATGGCTCCTACAGTTACAGTCACTCCTGTTATGATGAGACATTTCACTAGCAAACCTTTTTCTCTCTTAAAATTTAAACATGCACCAAAAGTTGTTATGCGTACATACAAAATACAGCCAATCATTGTATGAAGATATATTTTTAACAATCAAAGAATTCTACTACATGATTACTGTTTTCATTCCAAATTTCAGTTTTCTGTCCCCAGGCACTCTGGTGATAGAACTGTTTTTGAAAAATTAAAGCACAAGTGTATCTCCTTCACTCTCCTTGTATTCAAAAATAGCTGAATGGTCTTTCTGCAAACACATCTTTCTTGGGCAGAGACAACACTTCAGAAATGTCAGCCTAGTAGATAAAAGATTTGGAAAGTTATCAGCAACTGAAATCAGAAGATTAGAGTGAAATGACCCAGTAATCTTAATTTAGCTGTTAAATTAGTATCTAAGCTAGTAGCTGAAAGATCCTGCTGTAAGAACTGTGGCAGTTGGACTTAGTAATGCTCCATCTGTGCAGTCTTCCTTATACAACCAATGAAATTGTTGCATGCAAATTAGCTGTAGAGTAACAGTGGTGATTGGTTTCAGAGTAGCAGCCGTGTTAGTCTGTATCCGCAAAAAGAACAGGAGTACTTGTGGCACCTTAGAGACTAACAGATTTATTAGAGCATAAGCTTTCATGGACTACAGCCCACTTCTTCGGATGCATAGTGGTGATTGGTTGACTTTCCTCTGATATCACAATGGTCTAGGACCTGGGTTCTCACAACAAAAATTTTGGTGGTCTCAGAGTGTGGCCATGAATGCTTGCTGGTGGCTGCTCTCAAACTTTTTCCTAAAATACTTAATTAACTTTAGGAAAAAAATGCACATATACACGGCCAATCAGTGTAATTTATTTATGTAGGGTTTTTTGCAGACCTAATAATAAAAATAATGTACAGTTGTATGTATTCTTTACTGGATCTAAACAGAATAGAAACAAATAAGGTGCTTTGCGTGTTCTTGTCTTTTGTTCTTGGTTGTTCTTGTTTTTTGCTTTTTGCTTTTTTTGGTTGCTTTTTTTTTTATGACTTGCTAGCTAGTAAGTCTGCTTCTGTGAAAAGTGATATTTGTATGTTTGTTAATATCACTTTTCACAGCAGCAGACTTGATAGCTAGAAGATAGTGAAAAGTGATATTAACAAACATACAAATACCACTGTTCAGAACAGACTTACTCAGCCCTGATAAGCCAGAGGACAAATTAAGTCTTTGATGGGGAGGTGGGTAGGAAGGCAGCAGGGGGCCAGGAGAGGCAGCAGGGGCAATTGGGTGGTGAGCCCGGGGCTGGGGCCAGAGCCCGAAGTCCCACAGCCGTAGGATGGAACCTGCTGCCATGTGGCCGGAGGACAGAGCCTGCCACTCCAGAGCTGAAGCCAGAAGCCTGAACTCCACCATCCCTGGGAAGGTGGGGAACTCACACTGGGGTGGAGCAGTGGAGCCACGAACACCAGAGGAGCAGGCAGCCAATCACTGCCCAGGAGGCTGTGGCCACAAGAAAAGCCCCTGGTGGCCACATTTGAGAAACGCTGGTCTAGGACTCTTGCCTTGCTGTAGCTGAAAGCCGGCACTGGCACAGATGTAATTTGTAAAGTCAAAATGGCTTAAAAATTGGACAGTAACAGATCTCAAATCCTAGCGATGATTCATTCTGGTGATAGTCTGAACAAAAGGAGCTCTCAACCATGCTTGGAACTGTTTCCATCATTTCACACAGACACAACAAACATTCAGGGTGTATATGTGTGTGTAGTGCCATAAATGTACCAGGCATGCATGTACAATGAGCCACCTGTGCTACACATGTAACAGGATGCAGCCTTTACAATCTAAAGGCATGAGCAGGTACAATAAACGTATGATATAACACAGAACAAACCCAAAGCTTTGCCAGCATATGGTCATTATA